CTTGAAATTATTCTCACAAATTTCGATTCAGTTTATACTAATTTTATACGAACTAATATTCATTCAAGAGAAGTTTGTTCTACATGCACCTATTTGAGCGATTCCTATATGGCATACCTTATCTATCTAATAAACGTGAACCGACCGTTAAGAAACAAAAAAGAGAGAACTTATATTACTCGAAAGATAAGAATGTCATACAATTGCTGTTGAAGTCGATAAAGGAAAAAATCCTCATATCCCGACCTTAATACCAATGACTTACTCTTCGAATAAAGAGACCCTTTTCGTAACGGCGCCTTATGCTATTATATTATTCCATGCATTTTTCTTTGTTGTTTTTAAATGAATAAATATATATATACATATATCATGCATATTCTACATGACGCTGAATTGAAACGATGGAATTTTATCTTTATGTATGTTATAGTATACCTAAAATAAACATATTAGTAGAACTCATTCATATAAAAATGAATAGGACGTAGATCAGGAATTTTACTTATTTTTTCTTATGCTTCTTATTATTTATTTTTGCCACTATACTATTTTTCTTTTTCTTCTTTTATTCAGAAAGCTCCCAAACAGATTATTCTTTTTGCCATACCAGAATTGGTACCATCAGAATTAATTTATGTTATACATAAAAATGCATATGGATCTACAAGAACAAACGAAGGCCTCTGTTAAAGGAAAGTAAAATATAATATATTCTAATATGTCCTACAATTGGGGGCAAAAATACAACTCACTGGAAAAATTGTATTTCGTATCGTAATCTTCTTGAAATATTTTATCCTAGTTATATGAATTCTATTAACGGCGTATAATCCGCGGTCCTCATAAATTTCCAAGTAAAATTTTTTGGTTCAGATATGTTTTCATGAATCTTATCAATTATTATGTGACAAATCTTGCCCAATCGAGGTATGACTCTTTTTTTTCTATCCTAACGATGCTGTGGAGAGAACATTTTTTTCTGAAGGGGAATAAATAAGAAATATTTAATACTTCTTTCTGATTCTTTTGGTTTTATATTCGCCATTTAATCCATGCCTATGCAACCATTTATGCATGGAGCACCTGATTTTTCCGTGCTATTTTTATATTACTGGTCGGTATTCTAAATAATTCGTTTTCTTTCTTGGTTCTTCGGTAGGAATTAATAACTGGGGCAAGATATGCCTCATATTTTTGCGTCTCTAATAATTCAAAGAAATGTTGCTATGTTGGAATATTCAAAAATATCCTAAATGAATTTTGTATGTTTCCTTTTTTTTGGAATTTGTTAACATAATCCCCCCTGCCTCTTTCTTTCTCATGGAGAATAGTACATTCAGGATTTATTATGTTTGCAATAACTCTACATAAAAGAAGGAGATACAAACTGGAAGTCGGAAAGAGCAATCTTTAAATATTCTAGTACAACCCATAATTATTATAATAGGTACAATAACCCTTCTAAGAAGTCATTTTATTCTTCAAATGGAAAGAGATTAATATGTTCATTTATGGTAGAACCTTCCTGCTTACCCTTTTATTGGGTATCACTAAATACATTCATAAGGTAATATTCTAATTATAGGAGTAACAAATATATACACTATTTCGCCTCTTTATATTTTGGCTCCATTAAGGAAAAATATGTACCAATGCCTAAATATGTGGCATTTCCCAAATGCGGAATATTTCCCTTCATTTTTAGTCCACATGCTATAAGGATGACTCAAATGATTCATATGGCATATTCCAGGAGACGCCGATGGCAGAATCCAATTTCTGGAAGGAACAAGAATATTCGGCATCCAATGACAAACTCATAAACTCTTTAGGACAGGATGATGATGTTTCCGCGGACGGGCTAAATGCAATAGTCCATGATGACTATGATAACGATGATGAATCTACGGAAGAGCTTAGTCATTTCATGCAGAAGTACGACTCCGAAGAAATGTTTCCTCGATCAAGAGAAGGAAAGGGATTCCAAAATGATTCCAGTTCATGCAGCAGTAGTAATAATTATGAGGGATTTACTGACGAATTCAGTAGTTATGATAGTTTCGAATGTTCTCTTTATGAATTAGACAGTGA